TTGAATGGATTCAAAATGGTACAGGGCAAAGCTTACCAATTTCGAGAAAGGAGAACATTTTGAAAGTTCAGAAGGCATTATATGATTAAAACTGCCCATAAGGAAAAAGACATGGAAGCCTGTCAGAGGCCTAAGATGGGCAGGACAGATCCAGATGGCCCACAGATCCCAGAGACTGCCCTACATCCTAGTCTCCGGGCCCAATCTTTGTCTCTCACCCAGGTGACTGCGTTAGGCACCTAGGCCTAAGAGCCCAGAGTCACTGAGATTAGTGGAACATGCTGCCTCCAGACTGCCGATTGTCATCAAGAAATCCAAATGTGAGTTCTTCCTAAACAGAGGGATCCTTTTTCATTGAATGAAGCAAAGAAAGTTAGCAGAACCATCTCCACAATCTCGCCAGAGAGAGTGTACAGTGTCAACGGAGTGATGGCCCATGTCTGAATGTCCTCATGTAGCTGGTTTCCCGAATGCTTTCCTGCAGATGGCATTTATACACGGCTGGGGTAGATTTCTGCGTCTGCACTCACTGAGCTTGCTGTGACCATTTCCTCCTTCCACCCCATACCCAGCCCAATACAGATTTTAACAGAGACAGAAAAGGGGCAGCAGTTCAGCCAAATGGATGGATTCATGAGACGTGAGACTAAAAAGGAAAGAAGAGAAGAAAACTTACAGGTAAAGATCCATACGCTCACTTAAACTCCATCTGGGGAGTTTAAGGGGAAAGGTGTTTCTCAGCCATAGAGAATATCACCCACACAGCCTATGGTTAAACGTTGCTTAGGTGGTACTTAGCGAACCACATGTCACAAGCTTCATACCCCTGTGTTGTCTTCCTATGTTACTTTACCTCATGAATCCCCCTGTCCTAAAATAAGACAGTGCTCAAAATACTCAGTTCCGTAAAAAGGGTCATTATTGTTAAGGAAAATGTTTTTGCCATAAAGCAGTGTATTGTCCTGATACACACTTTCTGTCTACTGTTAGAGAAAGATGGTTCATAAGAAGCTTAGCTGAGGAGATGGTGTCCTGCAGAGAAATGCCTTCCCAAACCTGTACTCTAAGAGCACAAGGTGTGGCTGGAGGGTGGAGGAAGTAGTTCTATGACTAAGAAGTTCCCTGATGGCTTTCCTCCACAGGGAAAATGTCCTTTGACTCACATTCCCACCCTTCCTATATTCTTGCTATGACAAGACTTCAGCCATGACAGTCATGTCAGCTTGAACTAATGATATTGAACTAGGGGTAACTATCCTCCTAAATGTCCTTCTCTCTGTCCTGCCAGCCTCACAGTGACTGCATCAGGTATAAGCCATACGCTTGGTAGTTTTCACAGCGGATGATAATTAGCTCATGGAAAGCTTGGCAAGGAAGACAGTGCCTGGAATTAGAAGCCTGTGTCCAAATGAGGGAGAAATCCCAAACCTGGGGCTGCAGCAAAACAAGACACGGGTTGAGAGATGAAAATAAGGCTCCTTTGGCTTCTGGCCATTTCTTCAGTAACAAGTAGGTGGCACATGGCATGCATCAGTGTTCTGAGTTACTCCAGATGATTGGTTGATGGAAGACACTGTAGGATGAATGTAGACTTCTAAAGCAGCAGGGGTATCAGCCTCTGAAGGATTGAACCCTGACAGCCTTCTAGAAGCTCCTTTATTGTTACACAGAAAGGCACCTTTAGCATGTCTATTTCCACATAAGGAAACTTTTTATTTCACCCAGGGATTGTTTTCAAAGACCCATCACTTAAACAATTCTCCGCCATATGAGACCTCCTGGTTTGCCAGGCCTAAATTTGCTAGCCTAAGTTATGCAAAGGCTCTGAGAATCCTTCAAAAGAATAACCCTGGGTTGGTCAGCAGTTAAGAGAACTGACTGTTCATCCAGAGGTTGTGAGTTAAGATCCCCGCTCACAACCATCCATAATGAGACCTGATGCCCTCATATGGGTGTCTGAAGACAGCTACAGTGTACTTACATATAATAAATAGATTAAAAAAAACAAACAAGCCTTTGGGACGACTCAAGCGGGGGCGAGGGAGAAGGGAAGTAGGGGGAGGGGGAGAATAACCACATGAAATCTCAAATAATAATCACTGACAAAAGGCTACTTCGAAGCCTAGGTGCCATCACTCCAGATTCATGTCAGATACAAAGAATCTGCTAAAATCCTGCTACAGGCACAGGCTTCCTGTTGGAAAGTGCAGGAAGTTTGTACACAGCTTCCCCACTAGTCTAGATATGCCTGCAGCACATGTACTTTAAGAGTGTGCTGAGAGACCCTGGGGACGATCTTGGCTCCTCCCAAGAAGAACCACCAACCTGGCTTTGTTGGTCCACCACTGTCAACATACTTCTTGTTCTAAACGTGAGAAAACTGTCTTGGTTGGGTTGTAGGGCTCTCCCACCCCCACCTCCATTCCCTGATACTTCTTCCTGGAAGGCAGCTTCAAGTTAGTTTTCTTATTTTATTCTTTACACTCCATAGATTTTTTTAATGGAAAATAGGGGCTGGTGATGTAGCTCAGTGGTAGAGTAAGTGCCTGGCACACAGAGGGCCTGCCATTCTATCCCAGCAACAAACCCTTCAAAAGGAAACTAATTAATATGATATTGGCAGGTACAGATAGTTTCAAATCTATTTTTGTTTGTGGTGCCAGGGATGGGACTCTAGGCAAGCACCCCATCAACTAGTCTGAAAAGAAAATTTTAAAAAAGCAACCTGGAGCATACTCGAGAATGAACAGCCATAAGTCATATTCCTGACTGTAGTTGACATATGAATGAGAACAGAAACACCCCAAAACCAAAACCACCTCTGACTTCCTGTTGGGCTGGTGGTTACACTCTTGAGGGAGAGAATGGAACAGTTGGAAGCTTCAAGGCAGGGGCAGGTATATATAGTATTGGGTGGCATGATGGCAGGGACATGGGGGAGGCAAGTGTTGACAGGCAATTTGGTTGTTATGTGAACACTGTTGGAGACACTTGCACAAACCCAGATGGTATCATCTGATAAACATCTAGGATATGTGGTACACACACACACACACACACACACACACGTGTACACACACAAGCTTATTGCTTCCAGGATCATGATAAACAAAACGTGAAATTAAGGGAAGCTGCAAAAGGTGATGGATGTAGTTAAAAGCTGTGGTTATCAATGAAGCTGCTCCCAATATCATCCCATGGTGGTTCATACTTTTGTAGAAGGAACAAGTCCCAGAGTGACCATTAAAAGTAAACTCACAAGCCAGTAAGTTATTAAGCAACATGTGCTGTACACACTTCTATGTACTGAACTTCATACAACAGCACAGTAGGGTTTGTCCACAGCACTGTCACACACGTACACAAGGTTCAAGATGGCTGTCATGTCAGCAAGGACCCAGCCTTAGCCTACAAGACATGCTATGTGTGCTGAGGATAGAAAAGCCAGAGATTTGCTTTGGAGTCCAGAAGATGGTGAGTGAGTCCCAGATGTCAGGTGATGAGTTTCTAGAGCTACCTTTTAGGACTTTGGTTTTAACTGTGGTTCTTCCCTTTTGCTGTAAGAAAGTATTTAACCTTTATTTTATAGGAAGTCATGGTTAAGAAAGTTTGGACTTTTAATAGAGACATTGAATTTTTAAGTAATGGTGCTCTTAAAAGACTGTGTGACTTTTCAATTTGTATTGTATTTTATTATATTAACATGAGATCTTGGGGACATACGGAATTGGGATGGCTCGTCTTGGTTATCTGTTGATACATTTGGGCAGAAGAAACCTCAGTAGAGGAATTGCCTCTGTTGACCTTGCTTATAAGCATGTCTATGGGGTATTTTCTTGATTGCTGGTTGATGGAAGGGGGACCAGCTAACACAGTGGGCAGTACCACTCCTAAGCAGGTCCTGGGCTATATAAGAAAGCTAGGCAAGTCAGCCAGAAAGTGGCATTCCTCCATTGTCACATTGTCCATTGCTTCAGCTCTTCTTCTCCTTCTCCTCCTTCTCTTCCATGATTTATTTTATGTATATGAGTACACTGTCACTGTCTTCAGACACACCAGAAAAGGGCATCAGATCCCATTACAGATGGTTGTGAGCCACCATGTGGTTGCTGGGAATTGAACTCAGGACCTCTCGAAGAGAAGCCAGTGCTCTTACCCGCTGAGCCATCTCTCCAGCCCATTTGCTTCAGTTCTTATCTCTAAGTTCCTGCCTCAACTTCCATTGATTGATGTCTGTCCTTTCCTCATGGAAGTTGCTTCTGGCCAATAGAAAACCAAACCAGAACAGTTCACGCATGATTAGCACCTAGATAACTCACCAAGTGCTCCAATCCTGCTGTTCCCTCTCATTCCAGTTTACCCTGCTCTGTAGTAAGCAACACTCTGTGCTCAACTGAAAAATCAGCTCAGAGCTGATCATAGGATATGCAGCTAGTGCACAGGGGCCACAGCAGAGCAGGCCAGTGCTGAGCTGTGAAAGTCCTGAGCTGGGAAGCTAATCACCATAGTGCGGTGGCTCCTCCTGGTTGTCAACTTGACTCTATCTGGAATAAACTACAATCCAGAATTAAAAGGCTCACCTGTGATCCTGATCTTGAGGCACAGTGGCTATGAGGCCCAGGAAAAATAGTACACATCTTTAATCCCAGGAGACTTGAGGCAAGGAGAGCTCTGAGTTCAAAGTCACCTGGGACAAAAAAAGTCCCAGATCCAGGCGTGTTGTTACACACCTTTAATCTGGGCCACACCTTCTGCTGGAGACCTACATAAGGACATTGAAAGGAGGAAGGCTCTGTCTTCTTCGCCTGCTCGCCTTGTGGGACTGAGCAACTGCTAGATCCTCGGACTTCCATTCACAGCTGCTGCTGACCACTGTTGGGGAGTTGGACTACAGACTGTAAATTCTGTGACTCTAGAGAACCCTGACTAATACACGTAGCAAGTCTGGGTGGCACATAACCCTTTACGATGAGGAAATATGACAACAAACAAACAAGGTGTGGCTTTAAACTTTGCATTTTTTATGGTGGACAGTCATCATTTGTCCCGACAGCCATCTGAAGCCAATAGTCCCGATTATTGAAAACCACAAAATTGTACAAGTGTTCTCCTCCTTTATGGAAGCCATGTTCCTTCTCTCTCCATGCAACAGGACTGTCTGCAAAGCCTTGAACTATCAAGGAAACCCACGGAGCCAACTTTGGTTCATCAAAGTAGTGACTGAAAAAGAAAGAAAATTCTTAGAAACAAGAGGTCAAGAACATCCACATTAAAGAAGCTACCTAATGTTCTCATTAAGCTGAGACTCTACTTTGATTTATAAACACCAGGCTATGTAAATTAAATACTTGGTGCTTCATTATGTGTTCCATAAAGATTATCTAACATACCACTCAGAAGACAACCGCAGTAGCTCTTACTCACTGCCTGGAAAATCACTTAAGACCAAGAGAACAAACTCCTCCCTGCCCAAACAACATAATAGCTTCCCTTTTACTGAAGTCGGGTTTTGTTGGTTTTTAAATATGTGTGCCTGTGTGGGGGTCAGAAGAAAACTTGTAGGTCCTCTGTGGATCCTGGAAATCAGAGTTAGGTTGTCAGTTTTGGCTACGAGTGTCTTTGCCCACTGAGCTGGGCTCTTTCTCAAGAGCAATATTCTTGCTGAGTCAGGGACTTAGCGTTTAACACCTGCCTTCCACGCTCAAGGCCTGAAGCTTGATTCACAGCATGGAAGGAAAATACATACATGCATGCATGCATACATGCATACATACATACATACATACATACTATATTAGGGTCTCTCTATGGGTCTAGCTGTCCTAGAACTCACATTGTAGCCATGGCTGGTCTTGAACAAATCCATCCCCCTCTGCCTCCCAAGTGCTGTATGTATTAAAGGCGTGTACCACCACGCTGGGCTCCTACCTAATTCTGAATGAAAGACTTCGTAGAATTCTTAAACTTAATGTAGATGATAATTTGTTCCGCAGAATATTGCAGTGTTTTCAAGTTGGGTCATACTTTTGTATAAAAATGGCTCAAAATAGAACCAGGAAGATGAGCAGCTTAGTTCAAGAAGAGGCTCTGTTTTCTCTTCCCACAAGGGTTAAGTACTCTCAAATCGCATCTTCACTATCAGCAAGAATAATTATGTCGGGCCCAGAGAGATGGCCTAGTAGTTAAAAGCACTTACTTCCAGAGGACCCAAGTTTGCTTCCCAGCACCACATGGGTAGACTCACAGGTGCCGATTAACTCCAGCCCCAGGGAGTCTGACGCCCTCTTGGGGCCTCCAGTGGTACTCACATACACATGAACGTAAGTAAAATAAACCTTAAAAACTATAAGATTTTGTTGTTTGTTGTTGTTTTGCTGTCACTATATACTTTGAGCCGAGCAACGAAGAAAAGAATAAATGTGAAGGGCCCTGCCTTGTACCGACCACACTAACAGAAGTCCCTATCACCCCAACGTAGCACCAATAAGTAAGAGACGCAGGCAAAAGAATCCTCACCACAGCTGTTCCAGAAGGACAAGTATCTTCTCTGGCAATATGAAGCCTGTCACTGTACACAGACAGGCTTGGGCTACCACTGTGCTTGGCTGGGGGCAGTGGTAGGTTGATATGAAATTATAAGACTCGTTATTTCTGCCATAGAAAGGAAAAGGGAAAGAAAAAAGCATTTACAACCACTACACAGCCACATCCGAAGTATCAAACTCATACTGAACACAAGTGATGGACTCTGGCGTTCATATACCCACAGGTCCGCATTGCAGAAGGCAGCACCAAGCCAGTCCAAGAACTCCTGGACACTGCAGGCCTCCTCTGGCTCTCCTGCAAGCCTGCTGCTCTGCAGCACTGGGCACTGAAGCTCTCTCACTGTGCTCAATGACACTTTTGGCTGATGCTCCTGAATTTGGTATTTGGAAAAGTACGACATCATTGTTGATTCTTGTGTACCTTAAAACACACCAGACAAGACGGAGTCAACATTGTTACAACTTGTCTTGATTCACCTCCATTCCCCTTTCTTTTGGGGGCCTGTTTTTGACACAGGCTCTCAGTATACAGCTGGCCTCGAACGTATGATCTTCCTCTCTGCCTCCCTTCCCTTTATAGGCATGTATCACTAAGCCCAGCGCCTTTCCTGTTCCCCCTTTGAGTTACGATGAACAGCTAAGAATAAAGGAAAAAGGATAAAGGTGAGGTGAAATGGAAGCCAGGCAGAGTTGTATCCTAATTACAGTCACTTGAAGTTGCTTTCCACTGCTTATGCTAAAGCACCATGAACCTTCCTCACCTTTCCTGGAAATTACATGATGCCTCTGTCTCAGGCCCATATTTGTTTTACTTGCTCTAACAAGAAAATCTGAACTTCATATATAAACCCCAAAGTATTCCTTATATAGGGATGTGAGTGAAGTCTATAGAAAGAAGTCTATTTGTACAATCTAATAGGAAACACTAGAGGCACTGAATGAAAGCAGAACCTCATGCCCATCCCTTTGAAGACCTAGGAAAATCCACTGTATCTTTTCAAAGAACTTGGTGCAACCAACAGCCTTGGAAGACAGAAACAGACACCCCCTCTAGAGCATAGGATGGGCTGGCTTACTGTATAGTAACAGACATAATGATCCCTCACCATCTGTGGGCAGAGCAGGCAGACTCTCACTATCAAAGGACTGGATCTCTAGGGTTCTACCCTCCTGTTCTGTAATGTAACCACAGAACGTACACCAACTCTATGATACTCTATGCCCACTGGAATTTGGTGAACTTATTCGAATGTTGATTCTCCTATCTGTTGATTAAGTCTAAGTGTCAAACTGGATTAGAGGTATGGCTCATTTCTAGGTGTGTCTGTGAGGGTGTTTTAAAAGGAGATTGGCATGTGAGCTCACGGACCGAGTAGGGAAGCCCCACTCTTAGGGTGGTTGGAATGTGGGTTATTCCAAAGGCTGGGGCCCAGAGATAACAACAACGCTGAGGTAAATTCATTCTGTCTCCTGGAGCTGAGCTGCCCAGCTTCTCCTGCTCCTGGATACTAGGTTCCAGGTTCTTAGGCCTTTGGTCTTGTCCTGAGAGTGACAATATCAGCTTGCCAGCAGGGCTTCCTGACTTGTCAACAGCTACCACTGTGAGAAATCAAATCCTTCACCTTTTGACCCAGGACTTGCACCCATGACATCTGTGGCTCACTTTGCTGGCTGATATAGAGTGTAAAATCTCAGCAATACCCTTAGTTTCTCTGGTAGTAATTAGTAGTCTAGGATAAGAAATTACAAAAGGACTGAGAGATGGCTCACTGGTTAAAGTCCATTGACTGCTCTTCCAGAGGTCCTGAGTTCAATTCCCAGCAACCACATGGTGGCTCATAACCATCTGTAATGAGATCTGATGCCCTCTATTAGTGTGTCTGAAGACAGCTACAGTATCCTCATACAAATAAAATAAATCTTTAAATAGGTGGTGGTGGTGGGGAACTGCACAAAACCCACTGCACAGACAGTCCTTGGAGACGTTGCCAACTGACAGAAACGTCACTAAACATCTTCCCCTCTTGTATATCTGCTGTATGTAGAAGAACGAGAGGCACCAAACATTACAACATTTGGACAGAGAGAAGCCATCTTGGGCTGAGAGTATCGAGGAACTTCCCATGAGGAACAGACAGATGTAGAATTCCAAAATATACTTTGTTTCCCTGTCCTTAAGGACATGCTACACCACCACAATTCCCAATGGTCTGATTCATCACAATCCTGTAATGGGCCAAAGATATACTTCTAAAAGGAGCAATACATGTGGAAGTTGTAAGCAAATTAACATACTTGATGAACATTAAAGCTCGTGCTAAATTTAGTATTCTAATCAATTAAAAGTCATAACAAATGCTATCTGACATTTAATAGTCTGCCTGGGTTACTGTCCTGTAATAATGATAAACAGACCACACAATATAATTATAACTGATGCTAATTTAAAATATTCTAGCTAAGGCTTTCTAATGTGAGCAGAGGGAAAGAAGAGATAGATTACATGTTAGCTATCCTGAAGCCACTGTGAAGCTCTCTAGATCTGCAGAAAATCCAAGAAAATTGGAGCAGATTGCTTCAAAACTTACACTGAGCTGAGGTACTGAGGACATCTGGAAAGCCAGAGCAGCTCTGTCACAATGCCCGCACACCTATGTCAACAACATCCCCTGACCGCAGCAGCTTACCACCACTCGATCCTCCATTACGCCCAACAGATCTCAAAATCACTATCATTATATAATTCACACTTCATACCTGTAGGATGCCAAGCCAAAAGAAAATCAAACTGCAAAGGCTTCTTTTCCTTGAAGGACCAAGATATTCTTCTATACTTCTTAGAATCCAGGTCAAGGGATAAATCCATTAGATCAATGGAGATGACTTAAAATAGAAGGAGGAATACTTGTTTCATTCAAATTATACAGAGCTTACACTGTAGAAAAGCGCCTAAAGTTTTGGTAAGTTTGTAAGTAGTACAGATTATTCTGTTCTTCACCTTTTGACTTCATCAAAATCACATCCCTCAGTGGGCTATTTCTAGTGTTGAGAGCTGCTAACTATAGTTGGGTTTAAATATTTTACATCCTTTCTAGATCAAAGATCAAGGGCAGAGGTCTCCAGGAGATCAACTTCATTCTACCTGTGTCTGTGGTAGCCTTAGTTATTGGATGTCCATACATCAATAACTCAAAACTACCTCTTCACTTGTGAATTTCCACTAGTAATCACAAACTGTGTACGAAGCATACCAAGCTGTTGCTCTCCACTGCACGCAAGGGGTAGTCCTACAACCCTTATTAAATGCAGTGTACAGCCAAAGACCAACAATTTAACAGTACCAACTAATCCCCCAGGAAGTGCAACCAACAGCTCCTTGAGTCAGGATTTCAAAGGCAAGAACCATATTTTTCTGAATAAAGATTGGAATTAGGCAAACATTTACACTTTATTACAAGAAAACTGACTTGCTAGCCACCAATGGAGCACACGAAATACTTACTAAACTTCATACTTTTTCTGCCAGAATACCGAGATGGATGACCTTGAAGTCCAGTTTCTTCATAAGTATCCTTATCCAGTGATAAAATTAGTTTCCCTACAAATCACACAAGAGTTCCTACATTAGGGATGTTAAAACATGGCTGATGTTCTCTAAGAAAGCTGGACATCTGAGCAGTGAGATGTCAGTGTACGTGAGGTATACATGGAGAACTTGTCTATAGCACATGGACATTATCTAGCAATGTACCCAACTGGCCTGGAGCTTTGCTCTGTAGCTGAGGCTGGGTTCAAACTGGTGGCAAGCATCCTGCTTCAACCTTCTAAATACCAGGATTGCAAGTGTGAGCCACCATGCTTGATAGTATTATCTATCACTCATATATATATATATATATATATATATATATATACATATACATATACATATACATATATATATACACACTAGTGAAAACTAGAAACAATTAAATTTGTATAAAGGATGAAATAAACTATGATCTGTATATTACTTCAAATATCTTCTTTAAATTTTAATTTAGTTTAATTTAATATGTATTTGTATGCTTGCTTATAAGTACACCAAGGAGCCTGTGGATGTCAGAAGAGGATGTCAGATTTCTTAGAACTTGAGTTGTGAGCTGCCCTGTGGTGTTGGGAACTGAATCTGGGTCCTTTGCAATGACAGGAATCATTCTTAGCTGCTGAGCCATCTTTTCAGCCCCTACTTCAAATATCTTCAAAAAATTTAAAAGCTCTATGTTAAAGTCAGGTAGAGATGTGCTGGTTCATGTGTGTGATCCCAGCACTTGGATAGCTGAGGTAGGAGGAATGAAAATCTGAGGCCACCCTGGTCTACGTGGCAAGATCCTATCTCAAAACCAAACAAAAAGTTTTAAGTCACAACTATATGCGCTGAAGCAGGAACATGTCTATGACATACACCTTGGGAAGTAAGACTACTAAGAAACAATGTCATATAACCAATGTTAAAAAATGTTATGCTTGCTCGTGCTGGTGACACACGCCTTTAATCCCAACACTCATGAAGCAGAGGTATACGGAACTCTTAGTTTAAGGCCAGCCTGGTCTACAGAGTGAGTTCCAGGGAAGCTAAGGTTACATAGGGAAACCTGTCTCAAAAAAAAAAAACAAAAAAACAAAAAAAACCCAAGAACCCAAAAAACCAAAAAATGTATGCTTATAAATTCTCAAAGAATAAACATCAAACAAGTTCATCTAAGAAGGAAGTCAGACACAAATATGGGCTTTATTTTACTCTGTTTAGAGCTGTATGACATTTTATTATTTTTATGTATATTGGTGTTTTGTCCTCATGTTATGTCTGTGTATCATGTATGTGCCTGTTGTCTCTGGAGGCCAGAACAGGGCATTGGACTCATTGGAACTGGAGTTACAGATAGTTGTAAGCTACCAAGTGGAACTGAACTCTGGTCCTCTAGAAGAGCAGCCAGTGCTCTTAACTGCTAAGCCAACTCTCTACCCTCCTTAATTTTTTTTTTTTTTTAAAGAAGCACTATTCTTTTCTATTGAAGAAAGAAGAAAAAAATGAATTCGGTCACCATTTGGTAGGAGAGCAACAGTATTATCCTCGTCAATCCTTGTATTGTAAGTTAATGCAGAGAATGAACCTGTAAGAAAAAGTCAAGAAGAGTAATTAAGTCATTAAAGTAGCACATTTGTTTATGAATTTTTCATATGGCAACAATGCTTGCAGTCAGCATCCAGTACAGCTCTAACTCATTCAATAAACCCAATACACCCCAGAGATAAGTTGGAATAAATACATGCTACGCTCCAGCTAGATCATCCTGCCTCTCAGGCCACATCCAGGGTCTTTTTGTGCAAGTTTACTATCAACAGGTTGAGAACGGGCTCAGAATAAAACCTGTAATCTTGGGGATTCTAGAAGAAAGGTGCACCATAAAGAGGCAAGAGGACAAAACTTTGATGTAAATTCTAAGTTAGTATTCAGAAACTATTTGAGCAAGTTTAATATTCAAAAGCTACTTAGTCATCTGTAGGGATTCAATCTACTTCACTGTTATCAAAAAGGCTAATTAAATTTGGTAAGATATTTAGCTATCACCTAAAGAGGATACAGGAAAGAAAATGATGACATTGACGGATGGAGAAGTGATGCATGCAGCTGACCACATGATCTATCCTCCACGGGCCCTTTTAAAAACAAGTGAAGAACCCCAATTTTTTGCTGAGGTCTTCCAATAGCTCTTCATCTTGTCTTGTTCATATGAGACACTAAATGCTTTTTCCTACCTTTCTTTACAAAGGTGTTGATGAATTCATATGTAATTAATTCATGAAGAGGTAAGTTCTTCACAGAGTAATAGGGTCCAATGTCCATGACCAGGCCTTTTAGCTCTTTTGATAGCAGCCCACATTCAGGAATAAGAAATGAAACCTATTAGAATGTAGAAGAACAAACGAAGTTATAGTTTATGAAGATTAACACCATGTTTATAGAAATGAAATATCAAACTTGCTAGTTATTCTTTCACAGGTGTTACTGGGACATACAAGCATGGGCAATGTCATGGTTTGAATATGCTTGGTCCTGGGAGTGGCTCTATTAGGAGGTATGGCCTTGTTGGAGAAGGTGTGTCACTGTTGGAGTGTGCAATGAGACCCTCCTCCTAACCAATGGGAGCTGGTCTTCTCCTAGCAGCCTTCAGATAAAGTAGAACTCTCAGCTCCTCCTCCTGTACCATGCCTGATTGGACAAAGCCAGGCTCCCACCTTGATGATAACGGAGTAAAACACTGAACCTGTAAGCCAGCCTCAATTAAATGTTGTCCTTTATAAGAGTTGCCTGGGTCATGGAGTCTGTTCAAAGCAGTAAACCCTAACTAAGACAGGCACCCCCAAGACAGAGTTTCTCTGAGTAGCCCTGACTATCCTGGAATTTGCTTTATATATCAGGTTAGCCTTGAATTCAGAGATTCACCCACCTCTGCCTGGGTTTAAAGGCATGCATCTCCACCAACCTGCTAGGCAACAAATCTTTTAATCTATTAATCTCAGGCAAACCGATATTTGACTACTGAAGTTTTTCATTTCTGCGTTTCAATGTGAGGCAAGAGACTATGCAGAAATATTGTAATGGAAGTCTTACTTGAATCTCATCTTTTGCATATAAACAATATATGTTATGTCCTTCGCACTTTATATTCAAGTAAACAGAGTATAATTCAACGTGCCTTGATTTGTTTACTCTGGAATCATGAAATCAAAGGAACTGCTCCTGGGAGCATAAGGGATTTAAGGACATTCAATTAGTAAGAAGCTACATAGAAGCAGAAGTGCTCCTGGAAGCTTCCATTTCCTAGACAAACCTAGGTCAGACCAGTTGAGATAAGCGATACATCCCTGACTGCAGGGATGAACTTTCAACCGAAGAGATGCAAAATCCGCGCGGATTTCAAATACTCCCCAAGTGCACATCCGAAGTCCGTCCCCGCAAAGCCTGTTCCAGAGGGACAAGGACGCCAGCTAGTATAGCCGGGAATCCTATCAGGCCGGTATTTAAGGTGTAAAATGCTTAAGCCTTTATCATCTTAAGGTAAGGTTTTATTTTTTTATTTTTGAGTTCCTCGCTTGTCAAACCGCGTAATGCTTTGGAAAGAGCCACAAGCTGACCCACAGAGATCTGCCCAAACTTAGGGTGCAATTAGGCTACAACATGTTGTACAGGTCACACTCCGAACGTGCAGGTTAGATTCCTAACTCCTCCGTGCCTGCCCGACCCACCACCGAGCTACCCAGGAGTTCAATCCTGAATCCCGCAGTAACCACGCCAAATTTACCAACTAAAACTCTGCTGTTCCTCATAGGACCAAGCACCACCCTGTGTCTGGCGCATGCTGGGAATTGTAGTCCTACACAGCACTAAGAAAGGCAGCCAGGAAACTTGAAGAGACTACAATTCCCAGCATCCCCAAGGAAGATCTCTGCCCACCCCCGCCAGTCTTGCCAGGTAAAGCCCGCGTGGTTCTACCTTAAACCTCACCAGCCCGAGGACCGGGTGAACCCGACTCACCCTGTAATTATGATAGTGCGTCTCCACGAGATGCTTATGGCGAGACTTATCGTGGCCGAAGTTGGATTTCTCACAGACCAGTAAATGCCGTGGCGCCTCTTGCAGCCTGCGCAGCGTGGCCATGTTGAGCAGGAGTCCAGGCGAGCCTCGCCTCCAGGCCCGCCCCTCGTCCCGCCCCTCGTCCCGCCCCTCACCCGGCCATTCGCCCCTTTCTGATTACGCCCCTCCCTCCACCACGCCCTAACCCTTCTTTCCTTCCCCCTCCCTTTCCCTTTCTGTCAGTTCCTGGGGGCACTAGGTCTGAAGGTTCTCAAGAACCTGGCACATCCATTCCGTCCCACAGAGTTTTTCCATGGAGCAACAGTGCATATACTTGGGCAGGCCTGCACCCTGCCACCTTATGGAAAGGAGGAAGACAGGACAGAGGATAGGCCTAGTGCAGTCAGGAAATTCATCTGCTTTGCAACACACTGTTTTCCTGACTCCTCACATGGTCTAGTTCCTAATGCTTACCCACCCGCAAGCCTGTAAGTTCCCACTGAGCCTTCCCAAAATGTATAGGAAATTGAAGAGGAACATAATACGGCGTTCTGCATTTTTACTTCCAACAGGACTTCTTTGATTATTTGATTAATTTTTTTCATTTCCAACATTACTACTTTGTGATTTTTCTCAAATTTCAATTTCTTTGCTGAATTATATTTTCGTGTACACTGTATTTGTCTTCAGACACACCAGAAGAGGGCATTGGATCCCATTACAGAGAGTTGTGAGCCACCATGTAGTTGCTGGGAATTGAACTCAGGATCTCTGGAAGAGCAGTCAGTGCTCTTAACCGCTAATCCATTTCTCCAGCCCCTATTGCTAATTTTTATAAGCCATATTGTTGATTGTTCTCATCTATTTTATTCTCTGTGTGTGTGTGTGTGTGTGTGTGTGTGTTTATGTGTCTGTGTTTGGCGTGTGTGTGTGTGTGTATGCACGCAGCTGACTTTTCTCTCTGGGTCCTTGATTGAATTAATCTTTCTGTTTAAATCTTTTTTGAGGTCTTAAAGTATTTTTACTAGTAAACTCCTGGAATCACCCAGCATTTTACCTATTTCAAGATCTTTGAGTCCAGTTGCTGAGTTATTTTGTTTGAGACAGAGTCTCATCCTGGCTGGCCTGGGACTCAGTATGTATGTACACCAGGCTGGTCTCACACTCGGAGAGATCCACCTGCCTCTGCCTCCTGAGTACTGGTATTAAAGGTGTGCATCACCATGCCTGGATAATTGATTTTGTTTTGGAGGACTCTTGTCATGGTTTTTCATTCATGCTTTTGTTTCTGTGTGTGGTTTTGACATCTGTTGATTTGGAGATGTCTGTGGACTTATCTGCTGTTGTTCTTACTGAGCATCCTACTCTCCAAGACTCAGTCCCCAGTATTATTCATAAAGGAGAAAACACATTGCTGGGACAGTAACAAAATGGAAGATAAAGGGCTGGAGAGATAGCTCAGTGGTTAACAGCACTGACTGCTCTTCCAGAGGACCTGAGTTCAATTCCCAGCAACCACATGGTGGCTCACAACCATCTGTAATGGGATCCGATGCCCTCTTCTGGTGTGTCTGAAGACAACTGCAGTGTACTCATATACATAAAATAAATAAATCGTTTAAAAAACGGAAGATATAGAAATACACCCAAAGTTACTGAAGTTCAGCAATATATTACTAATAACCATGAAACAGAAATTCATAATACTAATGTAGAATATGCTAGGAAGGTAACAATTATGTGGAGTAAGTGTGAAAATAGCAAGAAAACGAAAGCAAGCCGAGATTAAAGAAAGAGGAGCAGGATGGAAAAGTGTGTCATGGATGGAGACGTAAAAAGAGAAAAGGTTCAGGGAGAAAAACTAAGAAGGAGGAAATCTCAATAATACAAAATCTTGAATAATGAATTATATAAATATAAGAGAAGTAAAAGATAAAAACATCCAATTTTTTTGAAAGGAAAAAGAAAGTGCTGAATTATAGAGAATGTAAATATAAGTTAAATGCCTGTATGAGATATGAAATGTATGGAAATGTCTGAGAGGGAATAAAAATGTTTTTAAGGAATGCAACAAAGGGAAAACGCTAGCAGTGTGCTTAGAAGAAAAAGGGAAGGAAGGTAGAAGGAAAGGGAGAAAGGAAAGCGATGAGATGTTGAAGCAACCTCTTCCGGGGTGCCTGGAATAGGCTGGGAGAGGGGTCACTGAACTTGCAGACTCTAGTCTTGAACCTGTATTGAGCAAGTAAGTGTTATGTGTCCTCCAGAGCTGCCTTGTCTTTATTAACTTCACCTTGTTCATCAGGGGCCTCTGCTGACCACACTTAGCTTCTCAGTCTACGCTTCAAGTTCTCTCATTCTCTCGAGATTCCCCAGATCATATTTCCCATGGTGCTAGTGTTCTAGCTGAGGGTTGTCCCCTCAGTCCTTTGGGAAAGGGGAAAGAATCCAGAGCACTGCCTGTGTGGGCAGAGAGCTTGGCTTGTGGTTTTCAGTATCTCTTAAGTATTGATCATCCACTGGAGAGATGCAGTTGGGGACATCAGGTTGTCTATTGGAGCTTCAGAGTTCTTAGACTCTATAGCTAAAGAATAATTATTCAAAGACACTGATATTTTGACCAAAAAAAAAAACGCAAATAGAAATAAGGGAAATGAAAAAAAAGAGTAAAAGTTCAAAGTATAAAGTGTTACCAATAGACAGGACTAAGCAGAACAAAGGGAATGAGGAGGTTGAAGAAATGATACATTCAGATATCAATAAAATAATGAACAGGAAGGACCACAATACTCAAGAACTCTGGGTTATGATCAATAGATCAAAGTTAAGAATTTATGAGACAGAAAGGAGCTGAGATCAAAACTAAAGACATAGAGAATCTATTCAATGAGATTATAGCAGAAAAAAAAAACCCAAATTTAGAGAAATAAATGGACATCCAAATACAAGAGACATTTACAACCTCAAGTAGGTATGGCCAGACTCTTTCCATAACATAATCAAGACATAAAATTATAAGGCAAAGAAATAATAGTAAAAGCTGTAAAGGAAAAACACTAACTCAGCTACAAAGGGGAGCACAGAAGAATAACATCATATCTTTCAGCTTCAACCCTAAAAGCCAGGAAGGCATGGAACAATAGATAACAAGACCTGAAGGTAAATAATTGCCAGCCAAGCTTGCTATATGGAGCACAAATGTCTTTTAAAATCAGTGCTGAAGCCAACGATACTGTTCAGTTGGTAAGCTTCTTGTCTAGCATATACAGATCCCTGGGTTCTGACTCCAGAACCACATAAACCAGGCATGGTGTCTAATGCCTCTGCTCCCAGCAATTGGAAGGTGAGGGCAGGAGGATCAGTAGTTCAAGATTACCCTTGGCTATTTAGAAATTTGAAATCAGCAAGAGCTGCATAACACTCCATATCAAAAATTAATTTCATCAAATTAACTTAATCATCGATGAAAGCAAGGTAGTGGTGGTCACACCTTTACACCCAGCACTCTAGAGACAGAGGCAGGCAGATCTCTTGAGTTTGAGGCCAGCCTGGTCTACAGATCCAATACCAGGACAGAGAACTCTTTATGCAGAGAAATCCTGCCTTGAAAAACCAAACCAACCAAACAAAGAAAATAAAATCAGTGATGAAATGGAGATGTTTCAAGACAAATAAAAACAAAGACAGCTGATGATCACCAAGATGGCACTTACGGAAGATGAGTAAAGGAATATTGCACATGGGGGAAGAAGAATGACAGTCTTAGTCATGAGACTGCAGAAAGAATAAACCATGAGAGGAAAGCCTGAGTAAAGGAGAAGTTGGAAGGAATCCATCATGCAAGCCAGCAATCCCTTCATGCTGATGTGGGGAGAGCACAAGCAGTGATCCAGAAAAATCAACCAACAGAACTAGAAGAAGCTGCACACAGGCAGCAGAACCAGCTCAAGAGAGGCATGAGTGTTACAGGCAGCAAAACTCGAGGGACAGAGCTATCTAGACCCCTTGAAACTGGAGCTCCAGATAACAGGCACAGGATTTGGTATTTTCCTTGCTGGATTTCAGTCTCTGTATGGCTGGATCTTTCTATGGGATGTTTATTCTGTGCCATTGTATGCTGGAAGTATGTAATTTGCTTTTTGTTTTGTTTTGTTTTGTTTTACAGGGATTACACTTAAGATATTGCCTCGAGTCTCAAAAGAGACTTGGGACTTTTGAACAGTATTGAGACTGATATAGACTATGGGGACTTTTGAGGTGGGGCTCAGTGCATTTTATACCATGAACCTATGGGATCAGGAGCAGAATGTCTGGTTTGAACGAGAAATGCCCCTATAGGCTCATGTATTTGAGCACTTGATCCCCAGTTGGTGGCACTGTTTGAGAAGGTTATGGAAACTTTAGGAGGTGAAGCCTTGCTAGAAATTTTTATCACAACAGAAAAGTTACTAATGCAGACCTGAATGTAAAACCCAGAAGTCTGAAACTGCTACAGAAAACGCAGGTAGATGCTTCAAGATGTAGACACAACCTAGGACTTCTGGAAAGAGTTCTAACAGCACGGGGAATGATCCCAAATATTGAATAAGACTATATAAAGTTAAAAACTTCTGCACAGCAAAGGAAATACTCAGCACAGTGAAGGTACAGCTTGCGGAATAGGAGGAAAGCTTTATCAAATATACTTCAGATAGGGGACTAATATCTAGAACCTATAAAGAACACCAAAAATTAAACACCAAAAAATTCCAATGAATAAATGTGCAAATGAATCCGTTTTTAAAACGAGAAAAGACAGATTACTAATAGATATATGTAAAAATATTCCACAACCTTCACCACTAGAGAAACCCAAATTTTAAAAAACAAAAAACGAACAAACAAAAAAAACTACATTGAGTTCTAGGTCACATCAATCAGAGACACTGTCATCAAGAAAACAAACAACAAATGCTAGTTTAGGGAAAAGGACCCTTATACACCACTGTTAGAGATGTAAATTAGTGTGGACACTCTGGAAATCAGTGTAGAGTTTCCTCAAAACAAACAAACAAATCTAGAAATAGAACTACTGTATGAACCAGATGTACCACTCCTGG